TAATATAATTTAACCAAGTTTTACTTTTACCATTTAGACGTCTGTCTAAACTCTTGATTTCGTCCAGCAACCTTAATGGGAATACAATTTAAAAAGAATAATTATAGATGTTTTGCATTCTCTAATCCAAGTAACTAATACTAAGCAAATATCTCTTTTATAAGTTTCAGATAATAAAACAGAAGTATTTCACACTGAAGGTATTCAGACAAGAGATCAAGCTATGAAAGTATCATCATCAGAAGGAGTTACTTCTCATACTTTAAACTATGCTATTAAGGCATATGCATCATGTCATTTAGCTGAAAAAAAATAACCAAATATATTAGCCCAAGCCTTTGAAGATAAATTTTCTTCAAATAAAAGATGCTGATAATATTGCAACTATTTATTGCAAAATAGGAGGTTTAATAATTCCATGCGTAATGATAGATACAGTCTCTGATTCTTCTATCTTTTCAGATAATATTGCAGAAGTTGTTGAAAAACTATTAGGTATTAAAATGACAGAAAACTTTTATAAGAATTTCTCTAGGATAATGAGGGACTATTGATACTATTATAGATTTTAAAGTAACTAGAAAAACTTGATCTTTAATTTTGGTTAAGACCATTACATTATTAGATTTGAAAATAGGGGATTTCTTGAACTCTTCTTTCTTTTTCATAAGTATTGTACTTCATATCACTTTTTTTTACAGCATAACAGTTTCAGCTAGAAGTGTTTAGAGCAGATTCATCATCATCAACATATTCATCACTCTCCTCAATTTTCTCCTCAACTATGTATTTTATTTCAGGCTCTTCGAGATCTTTCTCCTCCTCAACTATGTATTCTATTTCAGACACTTCAGAGTCTTTGGAATTTTTTTCAGCATTTTGGTATACATAATTAACCTTTTTAGTCATCTTAACTTCAAAGCAATTAATCTTTGTATGGCCAGCCTTTCTACAGACTGAGCAATGATGAACAACTTTTTGAGAGACAATTCATTTAACTGGTATTTTTTGTACTACCTTTCTAACAGCTTTTTTTTGTAGCATTTGTATTTCTAACCTCTAACTTTGAGAAGAAACTCCTTTTAATATTAGATACTTTTCATTCTAACCTTTTATCAAATTCATCATAGATATGTGGTCTTAAGTCCTAAGGTTGAGATATTCATTGCTACACTTAAATAATCTAAATCCTTTGTAAGACAAATTATATATTTGTGTTCAGCCTGCAAATCTTTTTGTATAGATGAATGTGATAGAGTTTCTTCACTAAAGAAGAAAATACTTACTCGTTTACCAGTTTCTAACCATTTATTATTAAGTTAGATAAAGAAGGCATTTAGATCTGCTGAATTTCTAATTTTAATTTGTAATTCCAAATTTTTAAATAAATAATTATAAAGAATAAGTAGAGCATCTGCAAATAGTAAAGCATTTACATGTAGTCTAATCCATTTTTCATATGTTTCTGAAGTATTAATAGAAAAGAATTTATCAGATATAAGCGCTTTTATAGAAGCCTTGCTAAATCTAGTTTTATTGTACGATATGTTTCTCGAAGTCATATTATAAATAATACTAGTATATTAACAGCATTACCAGCATCATTATTAAATGGATTAGGAGGAGTAAACCTTTCTGTTATCTTTTTTGCTAATATATTAGTTTTTACACCATCATTAAAGACTATTACTCCTAATAAATTACCATAATTAATTGCTTGCATAATCTTATTATAATAGTTATCTGATAGATCTTGACTAACATATTGCAGTATTTGAACTAAAAGTAAGGTCATTGAATTTAAAACATCTGGCAGGATAGCCATATTTCCAAGTGGATTGTCTTGTAAATTTAAAATAATTTGTCTCAAATTTATTTCTCAAGCTTTCTATTTTTGATAGTTAAATATTCAGGCTCAATTGAATTTTGCTAAGTCAGCCTCAGCTTTGTGTCTTCAATTTATTAACCGAAGACCTACCTTTTCTTGTAATAATATATGATTACGTCTTTTACTTTCTAAGTCCTAAGTCACCATATCTGACGCTTATTTGCTTCATTATTTAGAGCTTATGTTAGCATTTGGTTATCATTATATAATCTTGCTTAGACTTCTTACAATTGTTGCCCTAGATTTCTGGCTCATCAAACACTTTATTCTACTACCATATTTTGATCTTGCTAAAACCAACGAATTGTACCAATATAAGTAATAATATTAGCCAAACATATACTAACTCTATCAAATTTTCTTCTTATATTATCTGTAAAAATAATTCCTGTATTATCTAAATGTATCTGAATTCTTGTTAAAAAAGCTGAAGCATCAAATTGTTTATCTAAAATAGCTTGTATTGTATGTTTTATATTCAATATTTCTTTATTATTTAAAATTTTTTTCTGACTTAAACCAGTTATTTCATAAATACGGATCTTAAGTTGCTCAATCTTATCTTCTAGCCTTAAAATATTGATATCTTGAATAGTACTAGCATTACCTTTATGTCTTAAATCCTGTAATGCTTTTTAAAGACGCTATTTAAGAGATTTTATCTCAGTCTTAAAAGATGCTATCTCATCTTTATAAGTTAAGATTGTAGAATCTTGTTAAAATATAATTTTATAACATGCATCTAGTTCCTTATTCAGAGTCTTAAACTTTTATTGAAAATATCATTTGAGACTATTTTATCTGCCAATTCTTTGCGCAACTCTTTATTAGTACTAAGAATTTCTATATAAGCCAGGTTCATATCATTGATTCCTATTATACAAATAGATTTGAGTAAAGCTAGAAATTTAGATATATCTATTGATTTGCAAAAGATTTATTACCAGCCTTCAGGCTATCAGAGAACTGCAAAAAATTACATAAAGCTTTTCTAAATGCTGGGTTTGATTTTACCTTAAATAAAATGCATAATTAGCTTGAGAGACAAGCTGTATATTAGGTTCATAAATTTTATCCTAGAAATATTTCAAGTGCATCTTTCATTAATGTTACTATATCTATAAAGGTTATTCAAGCTGACTTATGCTATATGCCTTATGATCAAATTGGAAATAAAATTTATAAATTTGCACTTAATTGTGTAGATATTATTACCCATACAAAATGAACCTATCCCTTAACTAAATGTGATTCTGCTAGTATTGCTATAGGCCTTGAGAAACTTTTTACCTCCCAAAAATATCCACTTACTTGGCCTAAAAAAGATTTAATAGTGGATGGGAATGTTGAATTTCAGGATGATGTTATTAGATTAATGTATAAATATGATATCAATATTCTAATAGCTAATTCTAAAGAAAGTATAGACTAAAGATGGTTCTTATAATTATTTTTAAAATTTTTAACTAGTTGCAACTTAAGTTGCAACTATTTATGAATTTTTATATTAAAATAAATTTATAAGGAGTTGTAACTTACTGAGTTGCAACTTCTTAATTATGGTATTTATCTTTAGTATAGGCATTGTTGAAAGGTTTAATAAGATATTACAAAAATGGTCATCTGTTATTCAAGATGCTATTGATATGAGATTACCTCTATCAAAATGTTGTTAAGCTTGGATTAGAAACCTTCCAATTTTCTTGAGAATCTTGATAATTTTGTGACTTGTCTTTTAAGTATTTCTCTTGCTAAAGCATTAAAATTGAAGCATATTTATGTAAAACCTTCTAAGCCTTAAAATAAACCTATGGGTTTAATAAGAAACAATTAACTTATGATATTCTTGTAAGATATTTACTTAAACCAGATGAGTTGGAAGGTGAAAAAAGACATGCTGGAGATATAATTTGGTCTCCTCAAGTATATCATATCTGTAAATCTTTAGTGCAAAAAATCAGCTGGTCTTATACTAGCTGAAAAATGATAAGAAATATAATATGAAAAGATCTTTTATGAGAGAAAGATTAATGATTATTAAAGAAGCTTATTTATCACCTTGATAGGTACTATTCCTTTAATCTGTTGATCTCTTTTTTCTCATAAATTCAAAAAAAGAAAGCCTATTCCTAGAATTATAGAAAGAAAAAGGGTTGATCGTCTTCCGCAATTTCAAAAGTACAAGGAAAGGAATATAAGTAAAAGGGTTAAATATTTCCCTGTAGAAGCATAGCTTCAAAGAGATGAAATAAGAAAATCCTCAAGTGTTTTATCAGCTTATTCTTCTGTAATAAAATAATCCTTAGCTAATCTATAATATAACCCATATAGTTTTATAATAGTATTAAGAATTTTTAAATTTTTATCATAATAAGATTTATAATCACTAATAACTTGCTTATATTTGTCTTCTGTTGGAAATAGTCTTCTCGAATTTTCTAAGATACATGATTTGGTATCTTTTGTCTGATGTAATTCTAGAATATGCTTTTTGTAATTCTACATAAACTTACTATTTTTTGGTCTTTCACAGAGAATTCCTACCTTAAGTACTTTAATTAAAGTATTTTCAAAGTGAGTTTAACTTTTTTTAATTTGCTTGTTTCTATTAATTGAATTTATATACTCATTGTGAAAGTGCTTGATTTATTATATAATAGTTATATAAACTTTTTATTTTAATTAATTATTTTGGTATATGAAAAATAATTATATTATGTATGGTGAATATACTTGTTTCTTTATTCACTTCTCTGGTAAAATTTGTAGTCAATCTTATATGCATGAACAAGAATGTTCTATTCATTGAAAATATGTTATAAAGTTAGCTAATAAGCAACTTATTCGTTGTAGTGAATGTGATAGACTTAATAGATCAGCTTTTGACTAATGTTTTGATCATATAAAAGGGTTTTATGTCTTCTAATACTATAACAGACTGCATTCTATGGCTCTAATGAATAGTAAATAGTCTATTAAAATTTTGGTATTCTGTTTGAAATTTTGGTATCTTATTTAAATTTTTTACACTTAAGTTTAATCTTAATGATCCTAGGTTTATGTAAATGAATCAGCTTTAGAATACTATTCTGTATATTAAGAAATTGATGATATGGTTTAAGACTTTTAAATTAAAAATATTTATACATTAATTTTGGTATCCTGTTTGAAATTTTGGTACGTATTACTATTTTTTTGACCTAGCATTTATGTGAAAGAAATGGCTCTAGAATTGATTCCTATATATTGAAAAATTACTAGTATACTGGAATATAGTTAATAGCTTTTAAACTTTATTATATACATACATAATTTAGATACCTACCTCAATGTGAATACTAAAATTATAATCTTGTTAGATGAATATAAATCAGCTTTAGAATTAATTATTAATTCTAGGATATCATGAAATATGGTATGTATTTTAGGCTTGTATCTTAGGTCTAGCTCAAATTACGTCACTTTATTCCTTGATTTTTGATGATCCCTTCAAAGGTAAGCAGAATAGCATAAAAATTATTATTCATATTGGATTTGCAATATCAGTTCCAATTTAAATCACATCACTTCATTACTTGATTTTTGATGATCCCTTCAAAGGCAAGCAGAATAGTATAAAAGTTATTATTCATATTAGATTTACAATATCAGTCCCAGTTTAAATCACATCACTTTGTTCTTTGATTTTTGATAAGCTTTCCAGAGGCAAACAAAATAGTAAAATTTTTTTGAAGTATTATTTGGGATTAAAATCAGGCTAGAATAGCTATATCAAATAATATAATTCTTGGTATCAGACAAGCTAATTCCTAATCAAGTTCAATATCAACATCTAGATTTGAATCAAATTAAGCTAGAGGCTTAAATTCAATAATTGATTCATATATCTTATTGTATACTATTTAGATTTTTGTCCTAAACTCCTATTTTTGTCATAGTGAAACTTTATAATAGAAAGGAGAAAACTCTTAAAAAATTTTTTTTTAAATTAATATTAAATTAGAATTTATTTAACTAAAAAAAAATATATTTAACTTATAAAATAAAATTTTAATTTTTTAGAGTTTTCTTTTTTTCTATTGCAAACCTTTCATAATGAGAGTTACCAAAATTTAAAAATTACAAAAATTGAATTTTATTAAATTATTTCAATTAAAATATTATATAAAACAAGATAAATTAATTAAATCAACAATAATAAATTGTATAATATTTTTTGTTATTATTTTATTATATTATTAATATTTAAAAATATGATTAGTTAAAATATTTAAAATTTTATTATATTGAAATAGCATATAATGACATGAATTAAATTAATAAAATTATACTAAATATTAAATTATAATTGAATTGAATATTATTATTAAACTTAAAATTAATATTATATCTTAACTTTTAATTTGATTAGACAATATATATATATATCTTGATAAACAAATATTTTATAATTTTGTGTGTAATTAAAAAAGTCTTATATTAAGTTAATAAAAATTCTAACAAGTCCTAATTGATCTTAAAGAATTTAAAGATAAATTTGATTTATATATTATTAATTAAATCTTTTATAATATATTTATCTTTCTAATAATTATTATATATAAATTATTTAAAATAAAAAAATTCTTTAAAAATTAGAAATATACTTAATTTAAAACTTAGGTTTTAAATCTAAAATTTTAAAAATATTTTAATAAGTAACTTTAATTAAAAAATTAATTAAAATCAAAATATTTAAAAAAATTTAATCTTTAAAACTAATATTTTTTTTTAAAATTAATCAGGATCAATTAGAATCAATTAGAACTTTTACCAATTCTAATTACATTTTAAAT